TCAAGCTGCAATGATACCCACTCCCGTCTCCCATATAGGGAGATGTACAAGTCTTTCTTACCGGAGTCAAGTTGGAGAATGAGTCTTGGTGCTCCACTGACTGCTTTCTATCTCCTGATGAACTTGTCTGGTTAACTGTTATCACTCAGAGCGGAGTTGTTTCAACTTTCTTTCTTCTTCATCAAGTGTGTCTTCAGTCTACTCTTTTGTTATGCGTTTTTATGAATGTCTGAATGAATCCTAGTTGGTAGTTACTTAGAGTGACAATAATTGAAGAAATTGTTTGATTTCATTGTTTAAATTCCCTAACTTATCATATTCATAGTTTGATTACACAGACATTTGACTAAAACCATATCTACGGATTATAGATGGATTGTTTCAAATTCTAAGTGACCTAGATTCCATCTATTAGTAGTTTGTATTAGACAATCAAAGGTGTATTCACGTTTCAACGCAGTGAACGTTTATTCTGTGTTTTGACCGGAACTACGACCTAGAAGACCTACAGCGCATGCTAACTTAATGCACTGGCTTATCTGTCGTAATCGCACGTCAATAACAACAACAACAATAACACCATCCGCACGCAAAAGACAAGAGAAGACTGGACGTTGATTGGCAGGAGAGTTCTTACTGTCTCAAAACATAAGTGCCAAGAAAATGGTTGACATCATTTGCGTATACACACATATATGTCTGAAATGACCCTGATAAGCACTAATGTCATTGATAAATTAAGACACCGAACAACAATCAATGGGATTTCAAAGGCCATAAGTGGAGTGAGAGAAGATTAAGTCATAAATAAATAAGTTTAGGGGTTGAAAGAAATACAAACAGACATGTGCGGCCTGCTTAAATCTTGGGCTACCAAAATTTCCATCCAACATATTGCATCTATTTCCTCGGATTTATTTTGTTTTAATTATTCAATTATGTATCCAAGTCGCATTACTTACTCTCGCAATTATTTAAAATGTTTTCAACCTGTTGATTTACGAGTATATAATAACCTTATCAAAAAGCATCTTAGTGGGTAGAAGAGATCATTAAAGTGCACTCCAATGCATCAGATTACTGTTCCTGTGATTATGAGCACAAATTGCAGGTCATTATGGAACAAGATTAACTACTTGCATTCTCTCCCAAGCTTGTTATAATTCTGAATTAAATCTCATTAATTCTGAAATAATTCTAGCATCCTATAGTGAGTAAATTCTGAATTTGTTCTGAAATCGTTTGTTTAGTGCCACAGACTAGAACTAAGTGCTAGTTTTCAGCATAACAAGCGCTAATAAAGAACCGCGTTATTCTGATCTGTTATACACAAATGTATATTGTAATATTGGTGTAATCACCCTTCAAGAGACTTGGCTCCATGATTCATATGACGATAATTTAGTCTCCTTAAGTGGTTTCACAATCTACAGAAAAGACCGATGCAGCTCAAAGAAGAAGAGAGGTGGTGGTGTTGCCACTTCTATTAATTCTCAGTGGTCTACTGCCAACAACGTCTGCTTCAAATTCTCAAATGACAATATTGATTGTATAACTGTAAAATGTCGACCTAAACACTTATCTAAGTATAGCTTCACTTTTGTCACAAATATCTATATCACACCTTGTTGCAGTCCCTCAGAACTATCTATCTTTGCTGATGAATTCACTATTTTTGCTGCTGCTTCGTTTGGTAACTGCTTATCTATTTATTAATTTATAAGATGCCCCATAAATCTGTGCAGATCCCGCGTGGTCGCATCTCAACAATAGGCTGAGCGAATGGTATATATTTAAAGGTAGAAGCATGATCTGTCAAGGCGTTCATTATTATCTTTTTCAAGATTATGGGAATATTAAACTGCCTAAATACGAGCCTCGGTGTTTTGACGGAAACCCAGCTGATTGATTACAGTTTGTAAAACAGTTTGAAATCATGTTGAGTGGACTTAGAATGAATGATGAAATGAATTGGATGTATTTGTTGAGGTACTGCACTGGAGTTGCATCAAGAGCCATACAGTGCTGTAAGATTATGCCCCCAAACGAAGGATACTCTGAGGCTGTGAGTATACTGCGCCAAAGATTCGGAAGACCCTCGATGATTGTAAGAAACGTATTCGAGGCTGTTAGGGGTAATGGTAGTCAATTACGAGATGACTCCAAGGCACCCTCTGAGTTGTTGGATAATCTGATGAATTACAAGAATACTCAAGTTCAGTCCTGGAGGTAATAATGAGACGCCTACCTACTCGACTGCAAAGGAAGTATTTGAAGATAAGCCTTCGTATAGAGGATGAAGGTATTGAGCCAAAGTTCTATGATATTCTGAAGCTGGTAAACGATAGTGTCAATCAATCTATGAGCAAGTTTGCCAGTATGTCGCATCCCACCCCTGGAGTAGAGACGTCAGAGAGAAAAACGCAGTCATATATGACTAAGGGGTCCCGGCAAAGTGGATATCGAGAAAGCTGTAAGGTGTCTAGTAATCCATATAAACTTAGTGAGTGTAACAGCTTTCGTGATACATCCCAACAGATAAAATAAATAAATTTATTCTCATGTTACAGTACATGAGGGATGCCAGTTTACAGGCATCATCAAATTGTTACAGAAATAGGACCATATTATTCAATCACAATTTACAGTCGATAGCAAAATATGTTTTACATGTACTCTGGAGATTATACATACACTTGATAAATGTTAATCCCAATAGTATAAAACAGCCTTGTAACTTATGTACAATCATTTCTGTGCACAGTTGGAAAAATCTGCTAGATCGTCAGTGAGTGCAACACATCAGGAAATACAGAAGTATTGTCTTCGCATTAACAAAAAACCAGGTCTTTGGTGGATGGATTATAAGTATCTGGGAAAAAAATAAAGCTTGAAGTCAATTTTCATACATAATTTTGTTGTGTACAGAATCATTGAATTATAGTTCATTGGTGTATTATTTTGAAATCAGTGATATGTTTATCTCATTCGATCTACAATGTCATTGTTGAGAGTAAAATACATAAGCTTTAGATGCATTAATTAATGGATTTCTGCTGCTTGTGGGTATTTTCTTCTCGTGAGGAAGGTTTTGAATTTCAGTTGTTCCGACAGGAGTTGTGAATATTAACTGCTTAGCAACATTATGGATATAAGTTCACCACATTATCTTAGGAAAGTTGGGTTGTAGTTGGTGTGGCATATATGATGCCCGACGAGCGTTGATCTGTCCATTTGAGTTATACTTTTTTCATGTTGCCGGTTTTTGTATATTGTAATATTGGTGTAATCACCCTTCAAGAGACTTGGCTCCATGATTCATATGACGATAATTTAGTCTCCTTAAGTGGGTTCACAATCTACAGACAAGACCGATGCAGCTCAAAGAAGAAGAGAGGTGGTGGTGTTGCCACTTTTATTAATTCTCAGTGGTCTACTGCCAACAACGTCTGCTTCAAATTCTCAAATGACAATATTGACTGTATAACTGTAAAATGTCGACCTAAACACTTACCTAAGTATAGCTTCATTTTTGTCACAAATATCTATATCACACCTTGTTGCAGTCCCTCAGAACTATCTATCTTCGCTGATGAATTCACTATTTTTGCTGCTGCTTCGTTTGGTAACTCCTTATCTATAGTGACTGGCGACTTCAACTCCAGCGACTGCAGTTTTATTACATTGCTGGGCCATGAAATGTTGTTAATTTCCCAACTCGACAAAATACTTCACTTGATTTAGTATTTATAAATGATTCTGGAATATACGAAGCTCGTAAAAGAGCCCCGCTCTTCAATTCTGATCATTGTATTGTACGAGTCTTACCCAAAATTTACGGAAAGTTACACAGTAAAGCCTTCTCAAACTTGTCTAAGAAAGTTGTTCACAGATGCTACTCAAATGAGAACGTACATCATCTTAGAAACATGCTCAGTGACACAAGATGGGATTTGTTTAATGATGATTCACTTGATGACAATATCTCTAATATTACATCCTATCTGAAATTCTGTTTTGAAATCTGTTGTCCAAAAGAAACACTATTCGTCAAATTTGACCGTTTCTCCTCGCCTCAACTTAAAAAGCTTCGTAGAGAGAAGGAAAAACGGTATAAGATGAAAGATAAAAGTGGTGTAAAAAGAACTAACTTCTTAATTAAGTCTGAAATGCAGAGGTTGAATGTAATATATAACCAGAAATTCATATCCTGCAAAAATCCTTCTAATATGTGGAAACTATTTAAGGAAATCACTGGTGGTAAGCAGATAAACAATATTCCATATTCTTTTGATGTATGTACTCTTAACAAATCTTTTATTTACTCTCCCTCAAATGCCATGCTTCCCAGCATCACTTGTGTTAATAATAGCCCCTTTCCAGGTTTTAACACAAATGATGTTCAAAAGTGCCTCAAGTCTCTAAACCCTTCCCAGAGCTTAGGTCCCGATTATGTACCTAGTATTATTTTTAAAAATGTTCTGATATTCTGTGTCACCCTCTTACTGATCTATTTAACAAATCTTTTTCCGATAATATTGTGCCTGCCGTTTGGAAGGACATTAAAGTTGTACCCATACCTAAATCATCTACTGGAGCATGTGTCAAATTTAGACCCATTGCTATTACCTCTCCTTTTTTGAAAACTATGGAGAAATTACTTTTACTTAGTCTTGTACCTTCGCTTAAATCCTTTAATGACCCTAAACAATTTGCCTATAAGCACAGTAGAAGCACTTTAGATGCAGCTGCCGTCTTATATCATAACATTGCTTCCAGTCTAGACAAGGGGGCTAAATTTGTTCGTTGCGCCTTCCTAGACTATACATCTGCTTTCGACTCGGTCCCTAGGGACATCTTATTAAATAAACTTGCTGCTAGTCAAACAGAATGTTGGGCTGTTAACTGGTTACATTCCTATTTCTCAGATAGAAAGCAGTACACCGTATATAAAGGGAAGTCTTCCACTTCATTGCCTACTGAAGCTGGTGTCCCTCAAGGTGCTGTTCTTTCTCCTTTTCTTTTTTCTTTCTTCTTGCATGACTTGCCTCACTCTGATGAAATAAACTTTGTGAAGTATGCTGATGATTTAACGGTTTCAATGGCTGTTAACTCCCAGCTAGATTGTACTAAAATAAATAGCTTTCTATCGGAAGTCAGCAAATGGTCTGAGTCTAACGGTCTTAAACTGAATCCTTCTAAGTGTCAAACTGTTGATTTCAGCTTAAGATGTAAACGACAGTTAAAAGAAGTCATCGATTCTCATGACAGTTGTAAAATTGACGACAATGATATAGGAATCAAATCAGAAATTAAGTATCTTGGACTCATTCTCTCTTCTGATCTCTCCTGGTCTTCCCATGTCTTAGCAATCTCCAGTAAAATATTCCGCTTGACATTTTACATTAAGAAGTTAAGACACTCGGGTATAACTCAACCCCTCCTCTTACAGTTCATAAACTCTTGCATCCTACCTATTCTTCTTTATTGCTCACCCTTATTCTTTCCTGGTTTGCTTAAAAAGACTATGTCACAATTCGTAGAATACTGAAGACTGTCAGTAGGGTGAGTGGTGTCCCAGTGGACCACATAGTTAACGTCGTTGTCGATAGGCACTTGACTTCGTGCAATAAATTTGCTAAAGGGATTTTGTCTGACTTGGAGCATCCGCTTTACCCTCAGCTTTCACCTTGCATCTCCTCAGGTAGAACAAGGAGTAACTTCAGAAAACTGTATGCTCGCACGTCTAAGTATAAAATTCTATGATACCATACTTGGCACGTATTTTATGTGATGAAAATAGTGTCAGGCAAGAATTAACTAACCTTTTTTCATCTAGTAAATAAACAATTTCCTCCATCCATCCTTACATACCTTCAAGTTTTACTTTTATTACTTCTATTATATTTATGGTCCTGTTACTTCTCTGTTTTACTCTCATAATTGCAAACACCAACTTATCTCCATGACGGCTGTAATCTTTGTTTTTCCCTCACCATATCATGTAAAGAGAACATTATATTCAATATTTTTAAACATGTTAGGATTTCTATACCACATTGCCAATACTGTGTGACACAAGCCAACGGCAATTTTCACTTGTATTCTTATTATTATTACCCTAGCTGTTATCATTATTATTGCTATTTCCATTTTATATGCTGCATGTTTTTGACACTACCTCTATTGTAAATGTGGAAAATTTTCTGTGTGATTAATTTTATTTATAATTTGAGGAAATTAGATGCAATATTGTGATTAATGCTGAAAATTCCATTCTGTATCACAAGTACTGTTTTTGGAATAAAGTAAATCATTATTACTATTGTGTAACACGGACATATAGAAAATTAGGTTTGTATATGTCAGTTTACAAATATCTACAATACCCTAGGAATGGGACTCGGTGTTCGAAGAGCATTAGGTGTCTAATCACCCATTAGCAGATTTGTCCATTTTCATATGTTATGTTGACATTTGAAGGCTGTAGAGTTCATGAATACTTTTTAAATATTATCTAACTAATTGCCTGTTCACAGAGTTTCCTGTGACACGTTAACGAATATGACATGACTAGATACACTGAACTCTAGGCTCTAGCCTAATCACCAGCACTGACATCCTGTGGGAGACAAGACGCAGAGTCTGAAGGTAGAGGTTTGTGTATTTTAACAAGTTAATAGTACAGGCACAAGAGTGTGCGAAACATGGAAATAGAGAGATTGATGTTTTACTTATTCTTATTGAGTTTCTAGAGGCTGAGGGTGTTGACGTTCACAGATTGTAAGGAGTGCGCTAACGCAAAATCTAATACCCACAACTTCTATAGTATTCGTTTCGCGCAGATCGAAGGTAAAGCAAAACGCTGGAATTAATTGGCCAAATAATGAATTATATTTCGGGACCAAATCGAAGTGCGAGATGTGATTGCTTAACTAGCTAGGGATCGTGTACAAACGAACAAAGGTAACACTGTGGTAAGAGGTAGGCTGCGAACAAGCCAAAATTGTAGACAGCAGTTTACGTCATTATTACGTCACGGAAAACAGTAATAAAGCTTAACCTTAAGGAGCTCAAAAACCGATCACAGCAGACACAACGCGGGCAAATATGATTCCGAAATATGCGGCTGAGAGACAGTCACAATCAGTACAGGATAACCTTCAGCAAGAAGACTACTAATTGGAAGACGTTGCTTCCCCACTGACAATTATGTACGTAAAAGTCCATAAATATCTGTCACTCTTGTGAACAAACGATCAGTTGCCTGGCCCTTGACTTCTCTCGTTACAATATAACGTGGTGTCAAATGACGTGGATGCTTGACCGGAAGCTTTCAACTGAATAAATTGACTAAAACAGTGAGGGTCCGCGTCCAGTGTTCAGTGATGAATGCTTTGGCCAATAATTCTAGGAATTGCCACCTACCACTACAGCTCACTCCACCTTCCACTCAGTGGGGGTTGTGGGGAGTCTAAGACGAAACCAGCTACAAGTAAAAACCAAATGGTTTTCCTACCGATAAAAACTCTTCCTATGGGGTTGATGGACTGCATACTGGTTGTCTAATTGGGTGTCCATACATCACTTCGTTTATGTTTTTCCGTTGGATCTTGTGCTTCGTTTTCTTCTTTTGCAGTGCCCAACGCACCTGGAAAAGAAAACAAGAATTCTGAGAACCTTATCAAGGAAAACGTACCAAAACCAACGTTTCATTAGTGATATATGTCTACGATACGGAAAAATAATTCAAAAAATTGAACATCGGTAAGAATATCTAATTTTTCTGCAGTGGATGTAACATGTACGGTTATAAAAAGATTTTGCGGGATGCAATGAAAACGCTGATGTGCTTGAGAGAAAACCAAATATATACAACAAGTGAACAAAAATTGAGTCGATTGCATCATTTAGTTGTGTAAGTTTATTGTGATGATGTTCTGGGAATCTCACGGTTCATCCATAACGCGTTTTCTGTGAGATCTGGATGGAAAGTTCGGGTGCCTTCGTTGTGCTAGCGATTTCTTTGAGGACTAACAGATATTCATTTACTTGTTTATCATTGGGAATGCTCAGTTCTAGGCTCATGGGATTGCCTTCTAAATAGGCCGGTTTCAGACGATCGATGCTAACAGAGTCTTCGACGCCACTTTTGTCCAAGACAAAAAGACTTATCCATATTTTAACCGTCCATCGTTTGGGGTTCCAGTCTGTGACGTACAGAGTGACGACGAACAAATGCTTATGAAAAAGTTCTCAAACACGAGTGAACAAAGATATCTATCGACTGTGGTCTGAGAGGAGCAAGTTTAACTGAACGCATTGCGTTGGTAAGCCTGCCAATGTACGAGGCGTGATCTCCCCGCTGGTGGGAAGCTTGAGGGAGACACAAACCCACCTGCAAGCTGCAGTCTTCAGGAGCAGGTCGTCGTGATTTATATATCACGGGTTGTCTTGAGGTTGTGATGTGGTGCATAACATTGCTGGTTATGCACGGTAGATCGTTAGTCGGACAATTAAGTTCCGAGTGCTTGTCAACAATCGGTTGGAAAGTTTTATCAAAGATCACCTTCTTCCTAACCAGTGACGAGCTGGGATCTATATAGATGATGCCTTTAATAAAAGTTTTATAGTACCGTCTATCGGTCGTTTTCAGCGGACGTTAATTTACCAGTAAACTCACACAGTTACGTCCATTTATTTCACTTGTTCAGTATCTAAAAGCCAGAAAAAAAGGAAAGGCAAGAAACAAGCAAACATCTTGCACAAATGTCAATTTAAGTCGTGTCTCCACTACTTCCTTTGGAAGAAATTACTGTTCCACCCCTGGTATGCGAAGTCAGGTATGCTGGTTCTCCATCTTCTTTCAACTTCATATCCGGTGATCAGTACTGGGACTTTTCCAGTTAACTGAGTTAGCTAGTTACAGTGCTGGCTTAACCTGATTTTAGTGCTCTATCTAAAATTCTTATGACTGCTTCAGATGTTTATAAAATATATAATAATATTTGTTTCTGGAACAGAAACCAGCCATTTTTACAGGCATGAACATATGTACATTTATTAAAACTTATGGAATACATGATATGATTTGTTAATTTAGAAATAAGTTGAATACTGGTAAATGTGAGAAACACTTAAAATGAAGTGTACAAATAAGGAAATAGATACAGCGTCAAATCTAAACTGTGATTGAAAAAAATACATGTCAATTTCACGCGGGAATTATAAATGATTGCGTTATTTGAGGAAGGTAAGTAGCATTTCTGTACAGATGCTGACGTTATACATAAGGGATGCAGAACAAACAAAAATTATCAGTAAATGATTCATAAAGTGTTTCAATGTCTATAAAACTTTAAATTCACCCGTAAGTACACCATATTTATGACATTTCCAGTTGTTTATGGGACCGACTTTGAACTTGTCAGCAGATTTTATAATATAGGTGGTCCCGTTATTTACCAGATGAGCTAGCAATATCATCAATAAGTGGAGACTAGCGGCGCTGTATCAGTACCTTCGTTGAAGGCAGTACCTTTGAAAATAGAAGAAGACACAAGAAAACCGACAGAGAGGTGAAGTATATAAAAGGTGTTAATAATTCAAAATATATAACAGACATGGGGTTCATCATTTTTTTATTGTTTTTTTTCAAGAAATATTATTTCCTCTTTTCTGCGAACGATTAGTTTAAGTGAAAGACAGGTGATAATTTCACCTACTTATGTAGGTTTAAAAAGAGTTAAACACAAAAGTCAAAGTGCGTGAGGGTGGAGGTTGAGCTCAATGGAATACTACTTACTGTAGGGCAGTAGGTCGATTCTATATCACATGGTACCCCAGTGTATATATATATATATGGCAGCAGCATAGTCAGTCAGGATATATTCTGATACCATTTCGCTAGCGGCTGTCAGGAGATGAAAATGTATGGGAAATCTACAGGTCGACCCAAAATACTTCAGAGAACAGACTGAAAGGGAGATATCTCGACGAATCCCAGTGTTCCACTCGATACAAAAAAAAACATAGATAAGAATGATCACGTTCTGAGTGCCTCGTAGGTCTTGCGTATAATCTGCAGCAGCATCATAGTGGAGTAAAGATATTTTGATTTCATTTCGAAGCCATAATTTGTGGCCGAAAAGCAGGTGATATAATTTGTGCAAGTAGGGCTTATACCAGGGGGTTCGTTCCGATAGTCAAGCGATTCATGAACTAGAAATGCACAAAGAAACGCTTCCGCAATACTGTTTTTGAGCTCTGCCAGATATTCCTTTATGCATAATATAAGATTGTGTGTGCTTTCACAATCATGAACGGGGAAAAATGCTGGGCTTCTGTGGTGATTGACAATTTCTATCTCTGCATTGTTTAAATACTTACTGTTGACTGTTGATATGTTTCTTATATGAATTGCATAATAATTCCGCTAAATACAAATTCCTAAGTTCTGCCCTCTCTGTGTCTTGTTTGGATTCTTGTAATTCGGTCATCTCGAAATACTAATACTACGATTACAATAAATTGCTACAAATTGGCGTCGCGATGGAACTAAATAACCTGGGAAAATTTCCTCTTAATGGTTCTCCGCGAGAGATTGCTGATTATTTGGAATGCTTCGATGCGTGGTGCATTTCCAAG